GTTTTATTTTAAATTTTCTACCCACTAAATACACTTTGTGTTTTCTGTATGTACATGGGTATGGGGCATTCTACAGGAGTAGGGGTAATCTCTCAGTGCCTGTATCCCTGAAGAAAAGCGGCTCTCACTCCCCCAGTAACCACTAATTGCCAACAGCTTCTCAGAAAGGGGTGGGACATTATGAGTCCCTCACTCATGCATGTTGGGACTGTGGCTGACTTGATATTATGTGCATCTTGTACATGAAGTTTCACCTGTTAGGAGTTCATGTGTGCAACTGCATTGTTGTGTCCGGTAAAGAGGCAGTAAAACTAATGTCTACAAAGCCCGGTAATGATAACTGTCTAGGCAGAAAATATTCACTCACTTGACCACTTCAAAGTCTGAGGTGAGCGCTGCTACCCACTTGTATGTCCCAGGCACAAAGCACATTGGTGGGCTATTTTTTAGGATACCAAGGACTGGAGAAGGAGCCTGAACTATTTATGAGCAAACCACCACACTGGAGATTTTCATCTGTAAAAAAGTGAGAAAATCTCATGAGGAGACATAGTGCTTTTTGTTTTGTTTTCAGTGAGATCAAGAAGAGACACAAGAAAGCAGAAGTAAAGAAAACAACTGAGTATTGGGGATGTACACCTATAACCCAGCACTGAGAGTGGATCTCAAATGTGAAGTGGGTATGAGCTGTAGAGTCGGAAGAAAAACAGCTGTACCAACAAAAAGATGTAGGAAGACTTAGGCTATGACTGCTTCTCTTTTTCATTTTGATGTCTTTTTTATTGGTGTGTGTGTGTGTATGTGTACGCACACACATGTGCAAATGTGCATGCGAGTGTGTGAGTACACAGTCTGTGGAGAACAGAGGGCATTGGATCCCTTGGAGCTGGGGTTACAAGAAGTTCTACGCTGCCTAATGCAGGTGTTGAGAACAGAACTGAGATCCTTGGCAAAAACAGCAAGTACTCTTAAATGATGAGCCATGCCTCCAGCCAGAAAAAAAAAAAAAGAAAACAAAACGTTTTTTTTTTTTTTTGAGACAAAGCTAAAGTGGTTGAGGCTGACTATATAGCTAGGGGGTGACCCTGAACTCCCGAGATCATCCAGCCTCCACTCCTGAGTGTTGGAATAGGCATGTACCATCTTGGCTTGTTTTGTACAATGCTAGGGACTGAACCCAGGGCCTCCTGTGAGCTAGACAAGCTCTCTCTCAACTGAGCTACATCCCCAGCCTCAGCATCACCATCTGACAGATGAAGACCATTCCCTCTGTGATGGGAAAATGATAGCCCCTAGAATTGAACAGGCCTTATGCACACAGGTCCCCAGACAGGTTTACATGTGCAAACCCACTATGTTATGCTGTAGGACAAACAACTCACATTAGATCACTGATTCTCAACCTGCAGATTGTGACCCCAACAGGTGTCACATATCAGATATCCTGCATATCAAATATTAACATTATAATTCATAAAAGCAGCAAAATTACAGTGCTGAGGTAGCAACAAAACAGTTTTATGGATGGGGATCACCATGAGAAGCTGTATTAAAGGATCACAGAACTGGGAAGGTTGAGGATCACACTGACGTTATGAAAAGAAGTAATGAGGAGGCTACTAAACTGATCTGGCATCTCAGTTCCTACATAAGCAAACAAAAGTCACTCAGTCTAGATTGTCGGAAGTAATTAGAAACTGCAAACTCACCTCAAACTAGGAACTTCCCACTCGCGCGATCCAAAGGAAGACATCGGCACACATTCACCAAGCAAGCATTGGCCTTGCCTCCAACCTTGCCCTAACAAATCTTGGCCTCTTGGTAAAGCCCCAAATAACCCCCAGCTAGCAGCTTCTCATATTAAAACAGTTATTTGCTCAGCCCAAATTCTTTCAAGTGCCGAGGCACCAAAGCTTATCTTTTAAAAATTATATACAAATTGGAGCTGAAATCGAGAGCAAGGTGAATTCTGCAGTTAGTGTTAAACTCTCGGATTTGGTGTGTGATTAGCGGTAGACGCCTATGTAACAGCTTCCTATGTATTAAATATGAGAGGGCGTCAGCCAGAGACAGCACGAGTCCAGTGGAAGAGCAGCACATACAAGAGGAGCTGCAGTACCTGCCATGACGACACCGGAGGAGTCTAGAAAATGCACAGGAAAAATAGGTTGTGATCAAGAATTTGTATTCATATTTAATTTTTTCTTAAAACACGGAAGACTATTGACCTTTGCGGGCACCCTTTCCCCTGTGCCCAGTGCGCAGAGCTGGCCCCGACTCAGAGGAGCTTGCACATTTGAACCTCAAGAATATGGGCAGGGGCCACTACAGACAACCAGGAACTGCTGGTTCCTTGCTCCATCCTGAATCTCATGACATGAGTACCACTGCCAGCAGCTGGTTGGTCCTCTCTCTACTGAACCAGTACCCAAGAGATTTCATCTCTGGTGGATCTGAGCCCTTCCCTTACTCTCTCTCATCTGCCCACCATCTGCAGCAGTTCAGCCCCACCATATTGTCACTGTCATATGTTAGTGTCTTTGATGATTAGAAACAGAGTATCTAATTGGGCCATTCCCTCTAGCTTCAGAACTTGAATGGTGGCTCGGATTTTTATCCAAGAGGGCCCTGGCAACTGAGTACATATATTGACAGGCAGTACCTGCTGGTCCTCTGCTTGGTATGTCATAAATTTTTATTCAAAGACAAATGTCACGGTGAAAGAGAGACTAAATAAAGTAGTCACATAACTCAGTCAGGCAATACTTAAAGAATGTGGTCCTGCATGTGGGGTTGGATATGCCTTTGAGGGCCTGATCAGTGAGTACAGACGCACTTGTCTCTACGTTAGCCCTGGGTGTGGACTGAAAATTCACATGCCTGGTTGTAGGACAGTCTGTCATTCACAGAACCCTTGGTGGATACTGGATTGCTACCAGCACCCAGCCATGCCAGGCCAGGTATAAGATGTCTGCTAATACTGACCATTCATCTAATTGCTATTTTCCAGGTGAGATTTTCAGCAATTAAGAGATGCTGGAATCTATGCTCAAAAACTAACTCTTAAGTCAATTGACTTTAAAATTGCCTCAAATCCCAGAGCTCACTGCTGACAGCTTGCCTGCCGGTATTGACATCTCCCTTCCCAATGGCTGGGGTTGGCAAAGCTCTGTCTCTGAGATGTGATGCAAGCCTTGCCACTCACCTGAGCAAACCACGCTGGCATCCTCATAGTGCCCACAGTTGTGGGAGGATCATCCATGATGTGTGCATTGCCAAACCTTGACTTCATCCCCCATGCCCTGCACTTCATCCAGCATGATATGGCCTATGCCTCTCTCAAAGTAGCTCTCAGCTGGGGCTGACATGACCACACCACAGCAAAGCTGCTGGCACACCACCTTAGCATCTGTCAGGTCCCAACTCTCATCACGCACTGTGCCCCAGGTACCATTGTAAGAGATCTCTACTCGGCCCTCGCCCTGAAAAAGTCATCGCAGAGGAATCATTTTTCTCTTGGGCTTAGGAAGTTTCAGTCTTAAACATAATTTTAAAATACTTCTAAAATTTAGGCATTTCACAAAACGATATCCCATCTTTAATATTTCCTACATGTCCCTTTTTTATTTTCTACTCTAATTCTCTGCTTATACTGCATATAGTAATATAGACTAAAGCCTCAAAATGAGCTAAAACATTAGGAAAAAAGGACGTTCATAACCATCAGCACCACCATGTGAAGGTATAAGACTATTTTTAATATTATGCATTTATACAAAGAACAAAAAAACCGTATTAGAGAGTAAATAAGAGTACAAACATAACAAAATAATTTGAAAACTTAAATATTCTACTGACAAAGAAATACTGATTGTGATAAATTTGGGTTCTGCCTCAGCCATGTCAGGGTCCTTTGTTGGTGTCACAAAAACAAGGTGGCAGGGTGCCAGAGTCTGCACAGATGCTACACTCGTCACAGTAATGGAGGGTACAAGTCTTGGCATTAATGTGTTTGACCCCAATGATCTTTCCTTGAATGATTTTGCTTGATTCAATACAGCTTTCGACATCTCCACGATTTGCAAATCTTAGAAAAGACACACACAAAATTAGTTTTGAATTGTTCTTTCCAGTGAGCTTCTACAGTCACGAGGGCTGTATGGGAAAGTCCGGGGCTGAAGCCCATCACACGTGACACCAGCCTTGGAGTAAAGCTCCTGCTCCTTCCATATCTTTTCCTCTCCTACAGTTGCTATGCATGTGAACCCAGGTTGCCACTTCAAGCAAGGAAGAGTGACTTGCACCCCAGTGGCTGCTACAGGCCTATGAGACATGAGAATCATGAAGAAGGTGCTAGCGTTGGCTGGGCTCAGCTCTGGTCTCCACTATCCAAGTCCCGAGAAAGAAGGACACCATTACTGCTGACAGCCTGCCTCTCCCAAACTTCAGACATCTCTTGCCTCTCTTCCATTCCTGTCAGCTGTCCTCCATGGAGTCTATTCTCTTGACCCATTGGACTTTTCCCACAGCCGTTGACAATGAATGAGGGGACATGTGAGCTCCCCAATGAGTGGGAAGGGGTAGCAATAGCCATACTCTGTGTGAGTAGGAGACAGCTCATGCCCAAGGTGTCCTCTGTGGACTCCCCAGTCTACAGTGTCAGAGGGGGAAAGGGTGCTCAGCCAGGGTCCTGTTAAATACCTGAAGGCACACTCCCTGGTGACAGAAATCAATGCTGGCACATGTGTGCTTTGGTACACGGGCAAACACACACCTAAACACACACACACACACACACAGAGTCCAGGCTGAAAACAGTGGACTTGTAAGCTCTCAGCTCCAAGCTAGAAAGAAAACCTCTGCCCCCATCCTCTCAAATCTGACAGTGGCCCTTGACTTTCCTTTACAAGACGTCACTATAGTAAGAAATGACCCTGCTCCCACAGAGGGCCCAGTGTACCACTGTAAAAGTGTTTTTCACTCCTACTCACGTGACTTACTTGAATTTCTTGACTGCTTTAAAGACGAGATAAAATATGAAAATTGTGAGCACAAACGCAACAGCCAGCATACTGCATGCAACGCCGACGGCAATCTTCGTTCTCACTTCTAACATCGTTCACACCTGCAAGAGAAGATCGGGCACAGGAGGTGGCTTCACTCCCAAATTCAGCAGCCACTTGGCCACATGTCTCATCTCCCAGTGAAGAAGAAAGGTCCCAAACATGGATCTTCATGTGTGTAAGTAGAAGGAAATCTGTCCAGGGAGGTCAACGCTGACCTCATGTGGGTAAGAGAGTTTATTTGTGGTTGAAAAGGGATTTGAGCCAGAGAGTAGTGGCGCATGACTTTAATCCCAGCATTCAGGAGGCAGAAACAGGCAGATCTCTGAGTTTAAGGCCAGCCTGATCTACAGAGCTAGTTTCCAGGACAGGGTCCAAAGCTACACAGGGAAACCCTGTCTCAAAATACAAAAAAAACAAAAAATCAAACAAAAAAACAAAAACAACAACAAAAAAGGAGGTTTGATTGTAAAATCCAGATACCAGGAGATGAGAACGACAGAGAAAGTAATTACTGTTCAGAGGCAGTGAAGAACCCTGAGCGAATGAGAAGCCTGCACTGGAGCTTCCCACACCTTCCCAACTGTGCTCCCAGAGTCAGAACTTCCTCCACCAAGTACACGGGGCAGACCTGTTTCACGGACTGAGGGAATGACACTTCAAAATGTTACTGCCCTACACTGCTGAGAAAAAAATTAGTTAAAAGCAGACTTTTTTGAGGGGTGGGAGACCCCCACAAACAAATAGGTTATGCTATCTCAGGGTTAAAAAGATTCTGAAGGTGTCCAACAACCTCTTGTTGAGGCTGAAAGAGGCTTGCTCAGATCATGAGCCAGCTTTCTCAGGAGTTTCTTGTGCCTCGTTCTGTCTTCTAGCAGGCTATGTGTCTCCCTGCTAAACACTTAGCCCTCCCACCAAGTCCCCCTTTCCTGGACTTACTCTACTATCAGAATCTGGGGAGCAGCACGCCCAGAGACTACAGAAAACAATGTGACTACAAAGCATACTTACCAACGTCAAGATGTCTAACACTGAATTTACGACAATTATTTAAAGCACATGCGTGCACACACGTGCGTGCACACGTGTGTGTGCACACACCTCCAAATAGAAGGAAAAGGTTTCTGATGTAGGCTGCTTCAGAAACCTGCAGTTTCTCAAACCCGTGATTTGAGAAAAGGATCTAAACAACTCTCTTAGAGCAGTTCAGCGACAGACCAACGTATTCCACCGAGGGAAGGATAAGGTCTGCCAGAGCTGCTAGAAACTACCACCAGCTCCAAGCCAACCTCTGTGACATCAGCTTACAGCCCCCTTCATCACAATGCCGAATTATGTCCCACCTCTAGGCATATTTTAGCTTCAAGACCTAGAGACTATTTTATATCATTTAAAGTCTAACAGTTGAGAGTCTGCCAATCAGAACCTGGTCAACTGTTTCAATTATTTAAACAGAATCATGGATTGAGGTTTTAAACACCCTTGACATTATAAGCTACAGGTGTTTGACTGTGTACAGTTGTGCAGTGAAATGAGGTGAAGCTGTTCACTAGGATTCAAGCACACACTCAGCCACATTGGCCATGTCTCACACCTCATGGTGAAATAGCTGCAAAACAAGGAAGTTAAAGAGAATCCCTATTTTAGTCAGGTTTATTGTATGACTTTTTTTCTTGTCAGTTTCTTTTCAGGCTCCATCTTTTTATAGTTTAAAATATAAGATAACCTAAGAGAAAGATCCATCCTTCCTACTGAGATTACTCTTATTTGAGGCTTTGTTCAGAGGCCAGATTTCTTACCAGGAACAGAAGCATTTCTGTGATGAGCACGTTCAGTTTTCATCTGAATCAAGTTAACTGAGTCCCTTCCTTTAGAGCCTAACGTTACACCTGTCACCTAGGATCACAGATATCCAAGTATGCATCTCGACTGGAAGTAAAAATTATATGCAGTTTAAGAAATATATATATATATAATTTTTAAATTATACTAAAAATTCCTAGACCATGTCTGAGACTCAAGGCAACCTATTAATTTTCAATGCTGTAAAATTAAAAATATATTTAAAATACATCTTTCCCACTTTCAGACTGGGCATCCAGGAGGTCACAACTCTGCAGCTAGCCCATCCCTATCTCCAGGACATATGGTAATGACCAGAGTAGGATCATACTGGGGCTGGTGAGCTGTGGTTCTCTATTAACCTGTCTGTGTGGGTGGGCTGACTCTCTGTCCTGACTTCAGCTCTCCAGATGTCCTCTGTAGAGCTGTTGATTTTCAGTTTGTTCAGCTTCTTGTTGTGAACATGGTGATGACTTACATTCTTCACACATTTGGAGGAAACACCTAAAGCCCTAGTTTCCTTTCTACCCACTCTTCCCTTTTTCGGGATAGCTTCAGTTGGCCCATCTCCTGGTCTGTGGATTCTTTCTTCTGCCTTGTTCACATTTGAAATGGAGCTCTGCTGGTGACATCTTCATTTTGTTTATTGTAGTCCCCACCTCTGTAATCTCTACCCACCTCTTCATGGTAGTTTTCCTTTTATTAATATTCTTTATGATAGCCTTATACTTCCTCTTAGTTCCTTAGACATGGCTTTTTTTTTAACATATTTTAAAGTGGCTGAATTAAATCTTTGTTTAAATAGGGCTGAAATCTGGGCCTTTTCAATTAGCATTTTGATTGATTGCTCTGTCTTTTGTGAGTTCTATTTTATCATACTGTATTGTCATTTTGAAAGCTAGAGATTTTAAATGGTGTTTTTGAAAGCTAGTCGTCCATCCCCCAAGACTGTTCTTGCTGCTTGTCACAGTCTCATAGCTTCTTGTGTGACTTTCCCCAACAGATTCTCTAACATATGTGTTCTTTGTTGTGTACAGACACTGATTTGCCCAGAGGCAGCTAATAATTAGGCAAAGGTTTCTTGAAATTCCTGGGAACAAGAACAACAACCAAATCTTCCAGTCTTTGCTGAGGGACTCAGGGTACCTGTGGGCTATGCCTGCAACACTGAGCCAAACAGCTGAGAAACATGTCTCAGGCCTCTCCTCCTTGGGAAGAGCCTCCAATATCCTGCAGATACAGTACTTTAGGGCAAGTTCATACTCTTCTGAGTGTGTTTCTCGTCCTCTCAGGCACACAACTTAAATGGTGCACAGTCTTCTAGACTCCAGGAATACATCAGGGCTTTCCAAAACCATATAGTTTGGGACTCTAGGTGTCAGGTTCAAAGGAAACTCCATTTTCCTCAATTTCCAAAAGACAGAATGGACAAATGGCCACATGTGGTGCCTAGTAGCATATTAAATCCCTTCCTCGCCTCCAGGCTCCCTCAGTATCACAATAACCTGTTACACATTTCAAAGTCAATGCTAGCATTTCGGCCCTTCTCACCTCCTCCCCTATCCTGAACTCCCCCAGCCCACAGACTTCCTTCCCCACAGCTACTCATTGTCCTTATGACCCTGCTGTTCTGTCTGTGCTCACTCTCTCTGTCTGCCTCTCTCTACCTTCCTCCTCTCCCTCCCTTCTTTCTCCCATGTTCTCCCTCTCTCCCTGTTCCTATTCCTCTTTCAGTTCTGCTCTTCTGCTTCTCTCCTGCCCAGCTCCAGTCTGTTGGCCATGTTCAGTTGACTTTTTCTCCCCCTGCTCTGGACTCTTCCAGATGCTTCTGGCTGTTGTCTCTCTTACCTACAATAAAACCTTCTCCTTAATCATAGCACACAGTGGTCGTATCATTAGTTTATACACTAGGAATAATTGTCACTCAGCTTTTCCTTTAGTTTTATTTTGTCAACCGTCTAGAATCATCTGAGAAGAGGAAATGGCAGTTGAGAAAATGCCTCCATCACATCGGCCCGTAGGCAAGTCTGTAGGGGTATATTCTAGATTAATGATTGAGATGAGAGAACCCATCCCACTGTGGACTGTACAACTAATATACACGTGGTTTGGGGTTTTATAAAAGAGAAGCTGAGAGATCCGATCCGGGCACCAGGAGAGACATCTTTGGGGTGAGTGAGTTTCTGACCACTGCAGCAGGCCGGGACAGGGAACTCAGACGTTCCTCATCCCTCCTACACTTCCTGGTCATCGTCAGGGGCTATACTGCCTGATACCTCCTCTCTCTTCCTATCCCACCCAACTTGCATCCACAACCCTCCCCCCCTCCGTCTGACTCCCTCCCCTCTTTGACCACATAACATCTCCCAGCTCAGCCTGTTCGGGTGCTGGGACCGAATCCAAATCGGAAGGGCAAACGAGAGGGTGGTAGCTCCTTTGTCCCAATAGCCTGCCTGCAGCAAGCAAGGCAGGCCCTTTGTTTACGAGCCACCCAAGCAGCAAGGAGATCCGATCAGAGCACCAGGAGAGACATCTTTGGGCCACCCAAGCAGCAAGGAGATCTGATCCGGGCACCAAGAGAGACATCGGGCTTGCATCCACAACCCACCCAGAGCGGTGCTGAGGAGTTCCATCTGGACTGTTTTCCATGTTTGGGTGCTGAGGAGTTCCAGCTCGATTGGACGTTCCCTGCTTCTACACTGAAGAGATACACCCAGAGACTCAGTCACAGCAAAGACTGGACCAAGACACCAGGCCTCTCCTGGCTCCATTTGAACGAGGAGATGGGAAGGCGCCAATGCAAGACTTCCTCCAACAACATGAAAGGCAACATGACTTCACCAGAATCAAGGGATCCCCGAAACAAGAAGAATTGTACACCCTACTCCAGAAGAATTAGAAGAAATCGACTCAAAAGTGAATTATATGAAAATAATAGAAGACCTTAAACAGGAGGTGAAAAACTGCCATAAACAATTAGAGATTACAAACAAAAAGGTAGAGGAAATGAATAAAT